CTCCATGCTCCATGGACGGATTGCCATGTGCCTCCATGCTCCATGGACTGGATTGCCATGTGCCTCCATGCTCCATGGACTGGATTACCATGTGCCTCCATGCTCCATGGACTGGATTGCCATGTGCCTCCATGCTCCATGGACTGGATTGCCATGTGCCTCCATGCTCCATGGACTGGATTGCCATGTGCCTCCATGCTCCATGGACTGGATTGCCATGTGCCTCCATGCTCCATGGACTGGATTGCCATGTGCCTCCATGCTCCATGGACTGGATTGCCATGTGCCTCCATGCTCCATGGACTGGATTGCCATGTGCCTCCATGCTCCATGGACTGGATTGCCATGTGCCTCCATGCTCCATGACTGGATTGCCATGTGCCTCCATGCTCCATGGACTGGATTGCCATGTGCCTCCATGCTCCATGACTGGATTGCCATGTGCCTCCATGCTCCATGGACTGGATTGCCATGTGCCTCCATGCTCCATGGACGGATTGCCATGTGCCTCCATGCTCCATGGACTGGATTGCCATGTGCCTCCATGCTCCATGGACGGATTGCCATGTGCCTCCATGCTCCATGGACGGATTGCCATGTGCCTCCATGCTCCATGGACGGATTGCCATGTGCCTCCATGCTCCATGGACGGATTGCCATGTGCCTCCATGATCCATGGACGGATTGCAATGTGCCTCCATGCTCCATGGACTGGATTGCCATGTGCCTCCATGCTCCATGGACGGATTGCCATGTGCCTCCATGCTCCATGGACGGATTGCCATGTGCCTCCATGCTCCATGGACGGATTGCCATGTGCCTCCATGCTCCATGGACCGGATTGCCATGTGCCTCCATGCTCCATGGACTGGATTGCCATGTGCCTCCATGCTCCATGGACGGATTGCCATGTGCCTCCATGCTCCATGGACGGATTGCCATGTGCCTCCATGCTCCATGGACTGGATTGCCATGTGCCTCCATGCTCCATGGACGGATTGCCATGTGCCTCCATGCTCCATGGACGGATTGCCATGTGCCTCCATGCTCCATGGACGGATTGCCATGTGCCTCCATGCTCCATGGACTGATTGCCATGTGCCTCCATGCTCCATGGCAAGGATTGCCATGTGCCTCCATGCTCCATGGACGGATTGCCATGTGCCTCCATGCTCCATGGACTGGATTGCCATGTGCCTCCATGCTCCATGGACTGGATTGCCATGTGCCTCCATGCTCCATGGACTGGATTGCCATGTGCCTCCATGCTCCATGGACGGATTGCCATGTGCCTCCATGCTCCATGGACGGATTGCCATGTGCCTCCATGCTCCATGGACGGATTGCCATGTGCCTCCATGCTCCATGGACGGATTGCCATGTGCCTCCATGCTCCATGACTGGATTGCCATGTGCCTCCATGCTCCATGGACGGATTGCCATGTGCCTCCATGCTCCATGGACGGATTGCCATGTGCCTCCATGCTCCATGGCAAGGATTGCCATGTGCCTCCATGCTCCATGGACCGGATTGCCATGTGCCTCCATGCTCCATGGACTGGATTGCCATGTGCCTCCATGCTCCATGGACGGATTGCCATGTGCCTCCATGCTCCATGGACTGATTGCCATGTGCCTCCATGCTCCATGGCAAGGATTGCCATGTGCCTCCATGCTCCATGGACGGATTGCCATGTGCCTCCATGCTCCATGGACTGGATTGCCATGTGCCTCCATGCTCCATGGACTGGATTGCCATGTGCCTCCATGCTCCATGGACGGATTGCCATGTGCCTCCATGCTCCATGACTGGATTGCCATGTGCCTCCATGCTCCATGGACGGATTGCCATGTGCCTCCATGCTCCATGGACGGATTGCCATGTGCCTCCATGCTCCATGGCAAGGATTGCCATGTGCCTCCATGCTCCATGGACTGGATTGCCATGTGCCTCCATGCTCCATGGACGGATTGCCATGTGCCTCCATGCTCCATGGACTGGATTGCCATGTGCCTCCATGCTCCATGGACTGGATTGCCATGTGCCTCCATGCTCCATGGACTGGATTGCCATGTGCCTCCATGCTCCATGGACTGGATTGCCATGTGCCTCCATGCTCCATGGACGGATTGCCATGTGCCTCCATGCTCCATGGACTGGATTGCCATGTGCCTCCATGCTCCATGGACTGGATTGCCATGTGCCTCCATGCTCCATGGACGGATTGCCATGTGCCTCCATGCTCCATGGACGGATTGCCATGTGCCTCCATGCTCCATGGACGGATTGCCATGTGCCTCCATGCTCCATGGACGGATTGCCATGTGCCTCCATGCTCCATGACTGGATTGCCATGTGCCTCCATGCTCCATGGACCGGATTGCCATGTGCCTCCATGCTCCATGGACTGGATTGCCATGTGCCTCCATGCTCCATGGACTGGATTGCCATGTGCCTCCATGCTCCATGGACGGATTGCCATGTGCCTCCATGCTCCATGGACGGATTGCCATGTGCCTCCATGCTCCATGGACGGATTGCCATGTGCCTCCATGCTCCATGGACGGATTGCCATGTGCCTCCATGCTCCATGGCAAGGATTGCCATGTGCCTCCATGCTCCATGGACCGGATTGCCATGTGCCTCCATGCTCCATGGACTGGATTGCCATGTGCCTCCATGCTCCATGGACGGATTGCCATGTGCCTCCATGCTCCATGGACGGATTGCCATGTGCCTCCATGCTCCATGGACGGATTGCCATGTGCCTCCATGCTCCATGGACGGATTGCCATGTGCCTCCATGCTCCATGGACTGGATTGCCATGTGCCTCCATGCTCCATGGACTGGATTGCCATGTGCCTCCATGCTCCATGGACGGATTGCCATGTGCCTCCATGCTCCATGGACGGATTGCCATGTGCCTCCATGCTCCATGGACTGGATTGCCATGTGCCTCCATGCTCCATGGACGGATTGCCATGTGCCTCCATGCTCCATGGACGGATTGCCATGTGCCTCCATGCTCCATGGACGGATTGCCATGTGCCTCCATGCTCCATGACTGGATTGCCATGTGCCTCCATGCTCCATGGACGGATTGCCATGTGCCTCCATGCTCCATGGACGGATTGCCATGTGCCTCCATGCTCCATGGCAAGGATTGCCATGTGCCTCCATGCTCCATGGACCGGATTGCCATGTGCCTCCATGCTCCATGGACTGGATTGCCATGTGCCTCCATGCTCCATGGACGGATTGCCATGTGCCTCCATGCTCCATGGACTGATTGCCATGTGCCTCCATGCTCCATGGCAAGGATTGCCATGTGCCTCCATGCTCCATGGACGGATTGCCATGTGCCTCCATGCTCCATGACTGGATTGCCATGTGCCTCCATGCTCCATGGACGGATTGCCATGTGCCTCCATGCTCCATGGACGGATTGCCATGTGCCTCCATGCTCCATGGCAAGGATTGCCATGTGCCTCCATGCTCCATGGACTGGATTGCCATGTGCCTCCATGCTCCATGGACTGGATTGCCATGTGCCTCCATGCTCCATGGACGGATTGCCATGTGCCTCCATGCTCCATGGACGGATTGCCATGTGCCTCCATGCTCCATGGACTGGATTGCCATGTGCCTCCATGCTCCATGGACTGGATTGCCATGTGCCTCCATGCTCCATGGACTGGATTGCCATGTGCCTCCATGCTCCATGGACTGGATTGCCATGTGCCTCCATGCTCCATGGACGGATTGCCATGTGCCTCCATGCTCCATGGACTGGATTGCCATGTGCCTCCATGCTCCATGGACTGGATTGCCATGTGCCTCCATGCTCCATGGACGGATTGCCATGTGCCTCCATGCTCCATGGACGGATTGCCATGTGCCTCCATGCTCCATGGACGGATTGCCATGTGCCTCCATGCTCCATGGACGGATTGCCATGTGCCTCCATGCTCCATGGCAAGGATTGCCATGTGCCTCCATGCTCCATGGACCGGATTGCCATGTGCCTCCATGCTCCATGGACTGGATTGCCATGTGCCTCCATGCTCCATGGACGGATTGCCATGTGCCTCCATGCTCCATGGACGGATTGCCATGTGCCTCCATGCTCCATGGACGGATTGCCATGTGCCTCCATGCTCCATGGACGGATTGCCATGTGCCTCCATGCTCCATGGACTGGATTGCCATGTGCCTCCATGCTCCATGGACTGGATTGCCATGTGCCTCCATGCTCCATGGACGGATTGCCATGTGCCTCCATGCTCCATGGACGGATTGCCATGTGCCTCCATGCTCCATGGACTGGATTGCCATGTGCCTCCATGCTCCATGGACCGAAATTGCCATGTGCCTCCATGCTCCATGGACCGGATTGCCATGTGCCTCCATGCTCCATGGACGGATTGCCATGTGCCTCCATGCTCCATGGAGGGGGCTTGGGAGAGGAGGGGAAGGGATTGTCAGAAATTAAGTGCAGAACTTACTGCTGCTCTGGTTGTCATGGTGTGTGGGGGGGAAGGTAGAGAAAGGGGAGACGGAGAGGGAGAGGGAGAGGGGGGGAGAGTGGAGCATGGGGGTGCATGATGGTAGTGATGGTGGTGAGAGAGTAAAGGAACGAACGGATGAGATGGGGCCACATTGGGCCCCCTATTCCATCCCAGAGATGCAAGGTGAACGAATGGCAATGCAAGCGCCCTTATAGTTGCTTCCACTTTCCAAGTGATGTGGGTGTGGGTGGGAAAATCCCCAAGATTCACAAGTTATGAAGCTACTTAAGTAGGAGAAAACAAGAGTTGAGTGCGCATAAGGGGTCCAGATCAGGATTTATGGTGCGCAGAGATGAACAGTCGTGACGCAACCCCTCCTTTTGCATCCCACTATCACTCTAACTCACCTGCATGGCGCTGCTGACGTTAGCCTACAGCTGCTGCTCGTGGCGCTCTGCCTCATTTACCCATCCCTCTCACCCTCACCCACCTGCACGGCGGCGCTGATGGCAGCCTGCAGGTGCTGCCCATCGCGCCATGCCTGCACCCCCGCCTACTCCGAGCGCTGCCGCATGCGCTGCTAACGCCACACTGGGGAGCTGGGGGAAACGGGAGAGCGGAGTGGGCGCAGGGGAAAGCAGATGTGCATGAGACTACTTGTGTGAAGAGTTGTAGGGTAGAAGACTGCAACTGCCCGCCCGCCGATACACCCGCCCGCCCTCCCGCCCTCCCGCCCTCCCGCCCTCCCGCCCTCCCGCCCGCCCGCCCTCCCGCCCGCCCGCCCGCCCTCCCGCCCGCCCGCCCTCCCGCCCTCCCGCCCTCCCGCCCGCCCGCCCTCCCGCCCGCCCGCCCTCCCGCCCTCCCGCCCGCCCGCCCTCCCGCCCGCCCGCCCTCCCGCCCGCCCGCCCTCCCGCCCTCCCGCCCTCCCGCCCGCCCACCCTCCCGCCCTCCCAGCAACCATGCATTCGCAGCAACCATGCATTCACAGCAACCATGCATTCACAGCAACCATGCATTCCCAGCAACCATGCATTCGCAGCAACCATGCATTCCCAGCAACCATGCATTCGCAGCAACCATGCATTCGCAGCAACCATGCATTCGCAGCAACCATGCATTCGCAGCAACCATGCATTCGCAGCAACCATGCATTCGCAGCAACCATGCATTCGCAGCAACCATGCATTCGCAGCAACCATGCATTCGCAGCAACCATGCATTCGCAGCAACCATGCATTCGCAGCAACCATGCATTCGCAGCAACCATGCATTCGCAGCAACCATGCATTCGCAGCAACCATGCATTCGCAGCAACCATGCATTCGTAGCAACCATGCATTCCCAGCAACCATGCATTCGCAGCAACCATGCATTCGCAGCAACCATGCATTCGCAGCAACCATGCATTCGCAGCAACCATGCATTCACAGCAACGATGCATTCGCAGTCGCAGCATGGGCTTAGGTGAAGAAACGGGCTTTGGCTTTATGTGCTAGTGTACCTCAAACTTTTTCTGAATTTGGCTTGATTCCATCACTGTCGCCGAAAAAATTACACTGGAAGAACATGCAAAACTAACTTTCACTCTGATTGGCAAGAGTGACAGAAGTCCAATTTCTGGCCCTGGAGTGGACCCTTCATTCCCAAGCAGCCATGGCATCTACGGCAAGGAGGGGGCCTGGGAGCGTGTGTCGGGGGCAGCTGCAGCCAGCGCCTGAGCTGCGAGCTGGTCTGCCTTGTTTGCCTCGGCGATCAGCACATGCAGAGTGCGAAACACGTCCTTGCGGTTCTCCTCCCGGTGGCGGTACCTGTAGTGCGCCGTGCATGCACATGGCCAACCATCCCCATGCACACTGTTAGAATTCCCATGTTCTTGCATGCTAACACTTGTGACTCTACACCAATTGTGGTGTACAGTTGGGTTGGGACTACACCCAACTTTGGGTGTAGTCTTGCATTTTGGGGTGCCAATCCAACCCAATTCTGGTGGAGCCCCCAAATGCAACCCAATGGGCCATAGGTTGGCCCACTCCCCCAAGTGAGGCCAACCCAACCCAATGGGCCATAGGTTGGCCCACTCCCCCATTTCCACCTCCCTCCTTTCCCTTCCAACCCTCTCTTCCCAAAGCTATGTATGCTTGCCAATGTTCTAATGAAACTAATGCTTCAATTTCCTTTCTTCACACACACACATGCGCGCGCGCGCACACACGCGGGTATGCACAGAGGGTAAGCACAGAGGGTAAGCACAGAGGGTAAGCACAGAGGGTAAGCACAGAGGGTAAGCACAGAGGGTAAGCACAGAGGGTAAGCACAGAGGGTAAGCACAGAGGGTAAGCACAGAGGGTAAGCACAGAGGGTAAGCACAGAGGGTAAGCACAGAGGGTAAGCACAGAGGGTAAGCACAGAGGGTAAGCACAGAGGGTAAGCACAGAGGGTAAGCACAGAGGGTAAGCACAGAGGGTAAGCACAGAGGGTAAGCACAGAGGGTAAGCACAGAGGGTAAGCACAGAGGGTAAGCACAGAGGGTAAGCACAGAGGGTAAGCACAGAGGGTAAGCACAGAGGGTAAGCACAGAGGGTAAGCACAACGGGTCAGTACTGTAGCAGAGAATGAAAGGAGAGTGCAACGAGTTCCACCAGTGTGGCAGGAACAAGCGCACCCTCTTAACGATGCCTCCACCTTCCGCACAAACCTATGTTCCTCTCTCCGCCTGCCTTTCCTGCTCGTTCCCCTTGTGTAATCGTCCCTACCTGACAGCATGCCCCACAGTGCAGGGTCGCCCAGCCACTTGTCAACGACCCCGTGCGCGTCGTAGAGGTGGCGGTAGTGCGCCTCGTCCGCGGGCTCCTCGAAGCCCTCCACCTCCTCCTCCAAGTCGTCCCCGTACGTCCTGCACCGCCGCCAGATATGGCGCAATGGCTGCGGGCGCCGCTGGCGGGTCCGCGGGGGATTGGAAGGGCGGAGGGGGAGGGTTGGGGGCGGAAGAGGAATGGTTGGGAGCGGACGGAGAAGTGTCCATAGTGTCCCGGGAGGGGGGTGGGTTATGGGTGAAGAGGGATCGTGACGCGCAACGGGCGGCGACGTGGGCGCGAGCGGAGTGAGCAAGGGGAAGAAACACTCACACGCATCAGCCGCGTCAGCCACGCCACCGCCCGACGCTTCTCCCTCCACCGCCACAGCTGCCGGCAGCAACTCGCCGCCCTGACCGTCGGTTTCACTGCCGTCATCTCCGCCGCCTCCCGCGCCACTGACCGCGCTCCGCCACCTCACTCCGCCCGTCCCCATTCCTAAACCCGTTTGTCCGCCTGCCACACTCAACCACCTCGAAGCGCCCGCGATTGAGAGGATCTTGGGCGAATCAAGCGCAAGAGGTCGGTTCGTCGACGACGCGCGAGGGCGTTTGCGGCGGGCATGCGGCCGAGTCGCATAGCTTGGATCTCGTCGCGGAGGTGACGCCAGGCGATAGGTGCGCGGAAGGGACGAGAGCTGCTGGGGAAACCCGCCTGAGGCAAACGGCGGAAAGATCTGCGAATGGACGCGGACGTGACGCGCCACATGGGGCAGACCAGTAGACGTAAGCGCAGCGTTGCGGATTGATGAAAGGCAGAGCTGCGTTCAGGGAACGGAGCGAAGGTGTTATGGGCTGTGGAATTGGAAGCTTTGAACTGAGCTTCGAAACGAGTTCAGGCCTCCACAGGAATATATATAGCATGTTTAGGGCGTGTCTTGCGTGGTGGAAGTACATTCAAAGTTGGAGAGTTACCCGATAACACCTTGTGACATGTGCGATTGACGAGCCAGCCAGACAGTCCTTTGGATTCGTTTCTGGCAGATGTTTACTTGTGTCCGGGTTCGTGCGCAGCACACGCCACGCACCCGAGCAGCACATGTGCACACACATTTCGGGATTTGCCAAGGGGTCTAGGTGCGAAGTTCGCCAGTACGGCACTAGCGAAAAAACAAAGGTAACAACAAAGTGGAGCCGCACAATATTGGCAATTTTTCCCGTGCATCGCGAAAAACATGGGACGGAGAGACTTGCGGTTACAGCCGTGGTGGTTTTTATGCACGACTATGTTTTTTTGGTTCGCACATTATCGAACGTGTGCAAAAGTGAACGCGTTTGGCAAAACGTGATCGCGAACAGTCAACTGAAAGCTCGACCTGCGTTCGTTGTCCGTGTTTGTTTCCTTGATTTGTTGACGAACGTCGCCATCCATACTCAGCGATATTCGCGATACAGGATACCACTTCATGTTCGACCAGTTTTCGAACTTTGACCAGCAAAGAAACACGCCCTAAGATGACTCGTACACAGGAGCCGTACAACGACCCGCCCGATTACTCGGCATCAACGTGCTAGGCCTCGTTCATGCGTCGGGCTGAGATGTAGGTGCGGAGTGACCGTTCCCAAGTCACCGTTGCAGACGTATAGTCGCGGATTGACCGGTACTAATAGCTTCACAGTAGTCTTACACCAGGCCAGAGCAGCCGCAATGAAGTTCCGAATAGAGGACCTCGACGTGTACTTCCCGTACGAGTACATCTACCCGGAGCAGTACGAGTACATGGTGGAGTTGAAACGTACGCTGGACGCCAAGGGCCACTGCGTGCTGGAGATGCCGACGGGCACGGGCAAGACCATCACGCTGCTGTCGCTCATCACGTCGTACCAGATGGCGCGCAACGGCACGGGCAAGCTCGTGTACTGCACGCGCACCGTGCACGAGATGGAGAAGGCGCTCGCCGAGCTGCGCCTGCTGCACGCCTACCAGCAGACCGCGCTCGCGGGGGAAGCCGCCGCCGGCGCGGGGGGAAACGGCGCAGGGGGGAAAGGCGCGAGCGGAGTCCCGCGGATATTAGCCCTGGGGCTGAGCTCGCGCAAGAACCTGTGCATCCACCCGGTGGTGGCGGGCGAGGGGTCGCGCGAGAGCGTGGACGCGGGGTGCCGCAAGCGCACAGCCTCTTGGGTGCGCGCGGCCGCCGTGGAGAACCCCGACATCGAGGTCTGCACCTACTTTGACCAGTTTGACCGCAAAGGACAAGAAGCCGCTCTGCCGCCCGGAGTGTACACGCTCCAGGACCTGCGGGCGTTTGGGCGGGAGAAGGGGTGGTGCCCGTATTTTCTGGCGCGGCATATGATAAACTTCGCAAATGTGGTGGTGTACAACTACCAGTACCTGCTGGACCCCAAGGTGTCGGGGATAATCTCGAGGGAGCTGGAGAGGGAGAGCATTGTGGTGTTCGACGAGGCCCACAACATCGACAACGTGTGCATTGAGGCTTTAAGCGTCAACGTGCGCCAGCAGACCATCGATGGGGCTCATAGGAACCTCGCCCGGCTCAACACAACCATTGAGCGGTGAGAGGCGGGAGAGGGACCTTGGGAAGCTTGTTCGCCTCGGTATGAGGATTGAGAGGTGAGGGCAGGGAGCAGCAGAGAGGGAAAAGAGGGCGAGGAAGGGCAGAGTGAGAGTGGCGGTCTGCAGAGTCGTTTTTGTGACCCCAGATTGCGCAATCATTGCGATTCTGCTGTGCAGTCCTTAGGTGCAGTGCACGTTTATTTGCGGTGTGGCCACCAGGTTCAAGGCAACGGACGCGGAGAGGCTGAAGGAGGAGTACCGACGACTGGTGGATGGACTGGCGCAGAGAGGCAACCTGGCAGGTGAGGTGCTTGCCACCCACCGTACTTGCCACCCACCGTACTTGCCATTGCCACTCGCGAGGAACAGAGAGGAAGATTGCCAGGTGGCTGAGAATATGGTCACAATGCCATTTGCATGCCGCCAGCACTCACTCACTCACGCACGCACAATACTCCATCTCCTTCTCCCTTTCCCCGCTCACTCCAACTCCCCTCTCCTCTCCTCCCTCTCCTCTCCCCATTCTCCCCTCTCCCGCCTCTGCCGTCTCGCCTTTCCCGTCGTCCCACTCCCCTCGCCCGTGTTTCTTCTCCCCTGCCCCTCGCACACCCACCACCTTCGCGCTCCCTCCCACCCACCTCCCACACAGTCCATCTCACCACCTCCTCCCTCAGTCACGCCACCCAACTCTTGCCAAGCCAACCAACCAACCATCTACTCTCCATCCCCTCACCCCACCCACCTGTCACCCCATCCCCACCCGCCCGCCAATCAGCATCGGACATGTGGCTGGCGAACCCACTGCTGCCAGCGGACATCCTACAGGAGGCGGTGCCGGGCAACATCCGCCGCGCCGAGCACTTCCTCGCCTTCCTGCAGACGCGCCTCAACACCACGCGCGTCGAGTCCGAAGGGCCCCTCGCCTTCCTGCATGCCCTGCAGGCGAGTGAGTCAACGCAACTCCACACAACGGCCCTCATTCTGTGCGTCACCTGCACTTGTTCTCTTTGCATCCCACGACAGGAATGCCATGGCTTAACGTTCCATCCACCTTCCTGCACGCCTGCCCTGCACGTGTGCATGCATGGCACAGGCAGCAACGGGCATAGAGAGCAGGAGTCTGCAGCTGTGCTACGACCGCTTGCAGTCGCTGCTCTTGACGCTGCAGGTGGCGGAAGTGGACGAGATGGGCCACCTGCAGTGCGTGTGTGACCTCGCCACACTCGTGGGCACGTACACGCGTGGCTTCGCCATCATCATCGAACACTTTGATGAGCGCCAACCGCAACTAGCTGACCCCGTGCTGCAGGTGGGTGGGTGCTGCTGCACGTGGGGTGGTGCCGCTGTTTTCTCCCTTCAATGCCAGCTCGATTCCTCCTTCCTGCACTTTCACCCCCTCCTCTTTCTCTTACTTACACTCTCTCTTGCTTTTTCTCCAGCTCTTTTCTCCCCTTTCTTTCACTCACGCTTTCCACTACCCTTTGCCCCCACCCCTCCCCGCCCCCATCCCTGTCCGCGCCCACCCCTCTCATCCTCTCGCCCTGCAGCTCAGCTGTCTGGACGCATCACTGGCCATCCGCCCCACCTTTGAGCGGTTTCAGAGTGTGATAATAACGAGCGGCACGCTGAGCCCCATCGACCTGTACCCGCGCCTGCTCAACTTCCACCCCGTCTGCATCCGCTCCCTCTCCATGTCTCTCTCGCGTGACTGCCTCTGCCCGCTCGTTGTCACACGCGGCAGGTGAGGTGAGGGAGGGCTGTTGTGCGTGAGAGTAAGGGCACGTAACTTTTTCTGTTTTCGTCGATCGTCCGGACGGAGCCCCCAAAACGTACGAACGGAGCCCCGTCCGTACGTCTGGGAAGCTGGTTCGGACTTCCGGGCGTCCAGACCACAACTGTGGAACTTTTTGCGGCATCGAAAAAGAAGAATTTCGCCACGAAATGTACCACGCATTACAGCAATCGTACAGCACTCGTGATTTTCACCACCAAAAATCCGAGGCACTGTACTGGGTGAGGTTGTCACCCACTTCGCGCGCCAATGACAGCGCAGCCAAAACGAACCGTCCCAAATGTCGTTCGGACGGTGTCAGCAGCGTATTCCGGACCACTTTTTGTCAGAAAAGTGTCAGCTTTGGTCCGGACGGTAGTGACGTCGCAGGGGGGCTTGCGAAGTTTCAAACGAGTTTTTGCGAAGATAGTAACCCAACAAAAGTCCGGACGGGGCCTCCGTCCGGACGATGGAAAGTAAAAAAGTTACGCGCCCTAAGGGGGGTTTTTCATGCGTGGGAGAGTGTTTCCTCTGCACTCTTGTCGTGACATGAGGTCAGTAAGGTAGGTGTGACGGAGCAGCTGTCAATGGTACAGTGGTAGTGTGGAGACTGGCTCTGTCTCCCTTCACACCAATCCTCCACTCACTCACAGTCTGTGTGCGTCTGATTCCTCCCTGTGCTACTGTTCCAGTACTGCCTCGCTTTGGTTGTCACACAGGGAGGTAAGGGAGCTGAAACCTAGTCATTATTTCTTACACACAACCCTAATGTCTGCACCCTGTGAACACTCTTTACCCACCCCCACCAGCGACCAGCTGCCTCTGAGCACGCGCTTTGACATGCGCAGCGACCCCGGTGTCGTGCGCAACTACGGCCGCCTGCTCGTCGACATGGCCGCGTGCGTGCCGGACGGCATCGTGTGTTTCTTTGTGAGCTACGCGTACATGGATGGCATCGTGAACAGCTGGAACGACATGGGCATCCTCAAGGTGCGGCTCAGGGTTTAAAGTTAAGGAGTTTGGGTGTCAGTTTCCCTGTTTGTGTTGTTGGCTTGCAAGGTATTGGGTTTCAGGTTTAGGGTATATGGGGTGA